ATTTTCAAGTATTTTCTTTCATTAGCTCTTGTCACATAAATTCAGTAAAATAAATATTCTCAAGTATTTTCTTTCATTTGCTCTTGTCACATGAATTCAGTAAAATAAGTATTCTCAAGTATTTTCTTTCATTTGCACTTGTCACATGAATTCAGTAAAATAAGTATTCTCAAGTATTTTCTTTCATTTGCACTTGTCACATGAATTCAGTAAAATAAGTATTTTCAAGTATTTTCTTTCATTTGCTCTTGTCATTTGAATTCAGTAAAATAAGTATTTTCAAGTATTTTCTTTCATTTGCTCTTGTCACATGAATTCAGTAAAATAAGTATTCTCAAGTATTTTCTTTCATTTGCTCTTGTCACATGAATTCAGTAAAATAAGCATTCTCAAAATTCAGTTTTCTCTTTTTTCATTTTTGCTCTTGTCACGTAAATTCAGTAAAATAAGTATTTTCAAGTATTTTCTTTCATTTGCTCTTGTCACATAAATTCAGTAAAATAAGTATTCTCAAGTATTTTCTTTCATTTGCTCTTGTCACATGAATTCAGTAAAATAAGTATTCTCAAGCATTTTCTTTCATTTGCTCTTGTCACATAAATTCAGTAAAATAAGTATTTTCAAGTGTTTTCTTTCATTTGCTCTTGTCACATAAATTCAGTAAAATAAATATTCTCAAGTATTTTCTTTCATTTGCTCTTGTCACATAAATTCAGTAAAATAAGTATTCTCAAGTATTTTCTTTCATTTGCTCTTGTCACATAAATTCAGTAAAATAAGTATTCTCAAGTATTTTCTTTCATTTGCTCTTGTCACATAAATTCAGTAAAATAAGTATTCTCAAGTATTTTCTTTCATTTGCTCTTGTCACATAAATTCAGTAAAATAAGTATTTCCAAGTATTTTCTTTCATTTGCTCTTGTCACATAAATTCAGTAAAATAAGTATTTTCAAGTATTTTCTTTCATTTGCTCTTGTCACCTAAATTCAGTTAAATAGGTTAAAGAGCATCTCTTTCTCTAAACCACACCTTTTGATTTTAATGAAGACTGCAAACAGTCAATATCTGAATGTATATCTCTCTATTCTTTGGGTGGACAAAGTTTTCCTTGTTTATAATTACAGAATGTCTGTAACTTTTATCGTTTTTTTTTTACCTAACAAAAATCTGTTTTCATAGTTATTCATAAAATGGTAAATAATAACTACTAGATTGTAGTTGGTTTACAATTTACATATTTTTATAATTTTATATAAATTTTTGAATAGATAGATTTCTTTTCAAATTTATTTCTTCATAAAATAGTACATTATAAATCTTTATAAAAGGTGAATAATAAGTATTGCATTGTAGTTGGTTCACATATTTTTATAATCTAGTAAATAAACATTGCCGAGGGAGTCAAAAGTGTATACAGTAATAACAGTATCTGGCTATATTTCTGAGATGAGGTATTGTAGTTATTTACACTATTGACATTGACTGGTCTGTTGTCCTCATCTTCGTTGCCATTGTTTGGACTGTTGTCCTATTCTTCATTGTCCTCAAGGGCACATGGCCCAGTGGAGAAAAGCTTTGGATGAATCTAATGACTTAGCCCAAAGAGTTCAATACCTGGCTACAGCTGAGGTGAACAAAAATCTGGAGAGTTTAGTTAAAGGGAGATAACTGATACTGAGACATCCGGAAGAGGCATGGCACGTGGAACTAGAACAATCTACCTCGGTGGACGAAATAAAGGGTTCAGTTCAAAATTCCAATCACCTGAAGAAAACTGGAGCATACAACGGCCGAAACGTTGTGAATATATCAACGAAGATGAGGACAGCAGTAAATAGTGTAAATAGTAATAGCGGTGTCGAAGGAATAACACACCGTTTTTTTCGGACACGAAGGTTAAACATTGCCGAAATTTTACTTCTCTACTAAGTGCTACGATTTTTAGATTTCGTTTGTTTCCATATTTGTTATAGTGTTTAAATGAGTGAATGATTGTGAGTGGTGTATTATTATTATTCAATCTCTCACTATTTTCCACTAGTTAACTATTATTTCTACCACGATTAAATTGAAGAGGGTCGAATATTAATAAACAAGTTTCCTTTTCTAAATATTTTCCCATAAATATTAGGTTTTTTAATTTGTATATCATTGTCATTATCACTACCCCCTCCACAAAGATTGTGTATATAGGGGGATACTATTTTGTACCTAACTACAAGTGTCGTATGGAATAGTTAGGTTGGAATTTTTAAACCTATAAAAATAAGAGTGTTGTGCGAAAATGAAATAAAATCAATAAATAAAATAATAAAAATTAATAATAATAAAAAAGAAACTCTGTAGCACTTTCAAACACATAACGTTCGCACGTGTTTGCCGAAACTCCACCGATGAAGTAAGACAAATTTTACTTTAGACGTTCCAACCCAGCGCAATTTAAGCTCGGCTATTATAACTACCGGTAAAATAAGTAAAACGTTTCGCTAGTCGTTCCAACTCAGCGCAAGGTTGACTTGAGCTCGACCGTTATAACGATGCTTATCCTTACTTAACCTAACTTCTGAATCAGAAAAAGGAAACGGACATACCCAAGTGATATTAAGAGCTTTATTTCACTACAGTTTTCTTCATATAACCAGGGAGAATAAACGGTCCGTAGTAGAAACCTCAAGTTTTTGTATGCTTCTTCTTTAATTGTTTACATGTGAACACGCATCCACCTACAATATTCACCCATCACGCAACCTTTAAATTCCATGTCAATAAATTACACCCGGCAGCAATGCCTCTGATCAGAAGATTGAAGAAGGTTTTGAAGAACGTGGCACCACCTCTTAATTGGTGATGTTCACAGGTTCACCATGACCATGGGTGGTAACACCAGTTAGGGTCCCAGCTATTGGAAAATAGTGAACCCCCCCCAAACAAAAACAAAACACTATGAAAGTTAAAAAATACATTTTCATAGTAAAAATACTAGCAATATATTTCTATATAAAAACTACTGACAATATCCATTTGTAGTGACATTACCAACAATACAAATTTATAGTAAAGTTACTAACGATACTTTTTATCTGTTGTTGAAGGCATACAAACGTGTTCAAAATATTTAGATTTCGGCATTAAATAATCCATAGAGGTTGATATGACGCTAAACAAAATCAACCAACCAAAATCCAAATATTTAGATTTCGGCATTAAATAACCCATAGAGGTTGATATGCCGCTAAACAAAATCAACCAACCAAAATCCTGATATTTAGAATTCGGCATTAAATGACCCGTACAGGTTGATATGCCGCTAAACCATATCAACCAACTAACTAACCATAGTATAAGTTTAATGAACTGGAAGAAAATAATCGCGCTACAGAGAAAATGATTTAAAAAATAATAAGAGTGCCGTACCAAAATACACTCTTATGTCGGGGAATGAGAAACTGAAGGAAATAATTTTTTAATCTGAATCGTGTGGGTACACAATATAAGGAGTAATTAATTAGGTTTTGTAAACGTAATGCTTACTTTTTGCTTAAAACACATTGAAAATAACGTCTATTTACGCACGGTAGCCTTTGTTGTAATAATAGGTCAATAACTATGAGAATTATCTCCTAATAACTATCTCCTATAAATCCCTCTCTTAAAAAGCGCGCGTAAAAATAAAATTAAAGAAATACAAAGCACCATAAGTATTTTGTATTTAAGTCTAAAAATCAATTATTTTAAATTTAAACCTTATATAATATTTTTTATTCTATACATTTTTATGAAACTTAGCAGAATGAATAATTTTAATTTTTTATACTATATTAGAAATATTTTTTAAAAAATTAAATGATACTTTTGAGTTTAATAAATTGCTTTTATTGTTTGATTGTTTTCATGTCTGTTTGATGTCATAAAATATTTAATTACATCTAGTATATTCTTTTTTAATTATTCTTAATTTAAGAGTTATCATTATCTGATAATGATCTTCCGATAGGGAAGAGTATTCAATCAAAGGCGGCAATTCAAAATTATTCCCTTTTTGAACGTCCATACAAAAAATAATCTAACAGTTGTTAAAATGAAAAAAACGATTAAAATTCTTTTAAAAAGTTTCACACTCAAAAATGGCATTTAAAGATTACATTTTTTTTACATTCTTCAAAGAAGCCGTTATTTTATAAAAGAAACTCTTGTTGCGAACAACACCGGTATGAATTTTAAAATCGCATAGGAAAATACAACTATTTTTTTAAAATATTGAGTGTACATTTTTTCTGTTCGATCTGAGAGGAAAAATGTGTTTTAAATAATGCAAGCACCGACTCTTTATTTTTTTACTGGTAATATTCGGGACGAATTTTCCGTATGTTCACTCTTGATATTGCATAATTTCCTTCCTATTTCTTTTTTTTTTTAAATGAAATAACATCTTCGTCGATTTTTCGTTAACTCAAACTAAAGAATAACTTGCGATTAAAAAGTACTCACAAGATATCGAAAAGGAGGAGTTGAATCAGCCCCCCAAAATATTTCCACAAAAGTTTCTAAAATTTAATTCAATTGTTTCAATAATTTAATTCAATTGAGAGAGAGAGAAAGAGAGAGAGAGAGAGAGAGAGAGAGTATTTAATAAACTAACAGATGATAAATAGCAGACCCCCGCTGAACACTACACTATCGCCTTGCGGCATGCTCGACATCTTTTTAAGTACCACTGAATAAAGTTAAATCAAATGATTTCAGTACAAGCAACAAATCACAAATGAACATGAGGTACACTAATCAGTAATTTAAGCACATGACCATACGCACACATAAAACAGGGCGGTGGTACTTATTACACATATTGTCACGTGATTATTTCTCCTTCCTTCAAGAAAAAGTAGAATAAATAAATTAAAAAAAAAGAAAAAAAGAAAAAGAAAGAAGCATTTGTACTTAGAAGGGCTTGGAAGAAAACATTAACGCTGTTTTCGCTCTTCATTTCATCCGGTACCAGGACAGGACACGGCAGTTGTATCGATTTATTGAATTTTTGCAAGTAAGTTCTTAATTGGCGTGTTTAAAAGCGCATTAATTCTTAATTTGACACTTGTTGACGCGTTTTTAACTTTCATAAATAAATGCTACTTACAACAAGACGAGGAGTGTAAATTAAGATTACTATGGTTTTTTGATGGCTGTATTGTTTGATTCGGTATAAAAAAGCATTTCTCGCAGAAATGAGTGAAATATGAAATATTCTTCAACAAAAGTTGAAATAACTATTAATGGGCAATTAATCGAAATTAAAAATTCTCAATTCAAATTGTCAGACAATGCATCGCTCTTTATTTTTACAATTTTCTCTGAACTATTTATTTAACAAAAGTCTGAAGTTTTACTTTACACATTTACTGTCACATTCTGGATCAGGTACGGTATAATCTTCTTACTTGTTGTTAGTCAGTATCTCCCTAAAAACTGTAACGATTAGATCCCAAATAAAAGGGGTCAAACTTTGCCAGTTATCCCTCCCACACCAATAAATAATTTTGTTTTGATTTTAAAATTTTTACTGGTGTATATTTTTTAGATGCTACTTACTTGCTTGACTCAACGAATAAACCCACACAACAATACAAACAAGTGACAAGTTAGTTGCTACGCAGCTACGGTGATTGGGTAATGATCGCTGAATTACTAGTGAACTAGTCTAATTGACTATTATTATTATTATGTAGTGATGAGTTAGAGATCCTCATTGGGTGCCTTACGTGTTTCTTTGTGGTGTCAAAACTAAGTTAAGCTAAGTAAGTTTAATAAATAAATAACAAAACAAGTTAGGTTCCAGGTGGGCAATGCTTTTTAGTTTTTCATCAGACTTTCTTTGGTATCGCAATGAAACTAGAAAAAAGTAAACGGAAAAAAATACATGTCTTCTAAGTTAAATTTTGATTTTATTTAAAAGAAAAAAAAAAAAAGAAAAAACCAACAAAAAAGAAAAAACAAGTTAATCCGTAAGAAAAGAAAAATAACTTTGTTTTTAAAAAGTTTTTATACATTTTTAAAACACTGGCACAAAAAAAAACTCAATGACGAAGAAAAATGAAGACGAAAAATTTTAAAATTTCTTAGAAATTCAATATTTGTCTTCGAGAAAATAAATAACTAAATTTAAGGATTAATTAACTGTATTTTTTAAAAATAATATTTTTTGTTTAAATATTTTTATTTACACACGGTAGTCCCGTACACGTCATCAAGATCATAAGACATCAACAGTAAAAATAAATAAAAAAAAGCCGCGTAAAAAAATTGAATTAAGTACGGCGGACGAAACTACTAGAATTTAAAGAGGCATATCACGTTGAAACACCGATTCTCGTCCGATCGCCGAAGTTAAGCAATGTTGAACCTGGTCAATATCTAGATGGGTGACCATTCGGGTACGCCAGGTGCTGTCAGCTTGAATTAAAGACAAAATAAGGCTCGGAATGAGAAATCGGAGGGCCGAGTTCCAATTCCAGTCTGGTTCGTTATGTTCACTTCCGTGCAAATATCCTTGAGAAATGTATGACCCCACCTTTTCTCTTTTCACCTATGGTTTTAAGACTTATATCAGAAAAACATTATTATCACCCCAAAATATGTTCCGGCTTCTTAAATTAACCAAAAAAGGTTGATAAATGAATCTAAACTGTTAAATGTTAGTTTTAAAATATAAATGATCTTTAGTTTATGAATATAATTTTTATTCTATAGGATTGTATTTTTATGAAACTTAATTTATTAATAATTTAGGAATATACTAGATACCTTTTTTCTACACGGACTTCTAAAAAAAAGATTAAAAATGCATTTTTAAAGTAATTTATTTAAACATGAATCTCTAATAATTCGCCGAAAAAACAGCATAGCATGATGAAAAATGTTCCCAAACTTAATAAAAAAGAAGTTTTATCGTCAAAATACTTAAGGGGAAAAAAACAATGTATTTTTTGATTAATTTATTAAATTATTTCACCCTTTTTCTTATTTTTTAGACATTTTTGTTTTTAGAAAGTCATGGTGGTAAAATATTTTTTCTACATCTGTTACCTCCCTCTTTACTTAATTTTACGAAAACTCAAGACATTCGACGGTTTAGTGATTATATTATTTAAAAGCAGAAGACTTTGAAGAATATAAATCATCGATTTTTTTTGTAAAATTGAAATGCACAGCTACGTAAAATTCAGCTCTGAATTGTAAAATACAAAAATCTAATAAAACTAAGACATTATTTAATTAAAAAACCTATTTAATGGCTTTTATGAATAATATTTGTTTTAAGGACATTATTTTCTGAAACCAAAATATGTTTTCGATGAAAAATGAATTTTTACAAGAATTGTTTTTTTTTTTTTTTTTTTATTTTAAATAAAAAAAATGTGATAAAGTAAAGTTGTTAAATATTTTAAAATTAAGTTTGAATCTGTGTCCTTAAGGAAATGTTGTTATTAAGAAAATCTATTTTTACGGATCATAAATTTGAAAGCTTATTAGAATCTACGAACACAAGTATTTTAAAAAGAATTTTACACTGTTTTGGAGTCTCTTTTTCTAAATATATGGATGACCGTAAGTGACCTTAATGTCACGTGTGTTTAAGAGTTGTTTCTCCTGACGACAATAAAGTGACCACAGAAAATGTTAGTTACTTTCCATACTGCGAACATTTGTTGAATTCTCTGACTGACTTTGATCATCATCGTCACATTTTCAAAAGTTTTATTTTTTTACATCCTATTTCAGTAAATATTTTAATTTAATTGTTTAAATATAATTAATTTATGTTTTTCAGTGAGAGGTATATACTGCAATTATTGATTATTTTCTTTTTTAATTTCAATTCTAGTGATGGAAACAAAATAAAATCAAAAATAAGGAAAATTAAAAATTAACACATCAAAAAAAAATAAATAAATAAATAACGTTTCATAAAAATGAGAGAAGTACCTAGATACCTATCTTCTTATTTATGAAATTTGTTGGTATTATTTGTAATTATTAATTTTTATAGTATTTCACTTGTGAATTTTTTTCGTAACCGAGATATAAAAATTAATAATAAAAATACTACCATAAAATAAGAGATGTACATAAAAAAATTAAGTACCTCTCATATTTTATCTAACTCTCAATGTTGAAATTTATTTTATTTTTTGGTATTTTAAATTTTATTTTCGCAGAAATCCTCTTCAAGCGTAAGTAACTAAAAACAATAAAATATTAGATTGTTGAAAGTATTTAATATTTAAAAATTACTGTCGTTAAATAAGTTGGTTCACTTAAAATTCGAAAAAAATTGTCACTTCTGTTCTTTTGTCCGATAAATTCCCCTGACATTAACTGTCAATAATTGATGTAACCATCACTTAACACCTCCAGAAAAAGTCACCACGGTTAAAGTTAAGAAGACATGCTTCTATTATTTTCAACTAAATTTTTCTGCTAAAAAGTAAGTAATGTTTGTTTCTAATTACATAAAGTAAATTTTAAGTAACCTTTTGAATTAGGTACAATTAATTTTTACAAGATTTTTAAACGGAGAATTTAACTTTTGTTTACAAAAGTCTCAAAACAAACATCATCGATTTTATAGCGATTTCGCTGACTCAAAAAAACCCAAAAAAAACAAGATTTTTGACTAAAATTTCGGACATACTAGGAAGGATTAAAAAATTATAAAACAATAATCGAAAATACTTTGATATCTTAATAATAACATGCACATTTAGGGACTTTTTTCACCACGGCATTCTCTGTTTTAGCGAATTAGTGGAGATACCTATGAAACATGTATGTCCCAGACATTTATTTTCTTGAAAGATTAGTAAATTTGAGAGTTAAAAAATTAGATTAGAACTTGTAAAAATATTACTCTTTCAAAATATGTAACAAAAAAGCATTTTTCAAGAAAATAGCGAATGTACTTGTTTGTCAACACTCAGCACGTTCAAAGGTCAAATAATTGCTTATCATATCACTCACTCTTACTGAACAAATCCCCCCCCCCAAATAAAAATCCAGTCAAATATGGAAGATCACATTTTTAGCACAGTCTTTAGCTGTTTCTACAAAAATATCAGAGATAAATTAGTATTTTATTTTGGATTTTCATTTTGAGCTTCCATAGAATAAGAAAAATCAAACTGTTGTAAAAAAAAAAGAAAAAAAAAAGTAAAATAATGTGATTAAATTTTATATTTTTCGCTTCTTCAAACACATTTAAATTTTATCCGCAGTGAACAAGAGTTTTAAAATCGTACTGTAAGATTACAAATCAATTTTTCACAAACAAATACAGTGTAACCCGGATGTAAGAGAGTTGTCGGGACCGGAGAAGAAGTATCTTATATCCAGGTTTCTCTTATATCCGAGTTTGGTCTATTTTGTTTAGGTAAGTATGGGAACACTTTGGGACCAGAGAAAATCTCTCTTATATCCGGGTTACACTGTATACACTAAATCTGCATGGGAACAAAAATATATAGTGTATTTTATTAAAGATTTCGGATCATAATTTCGATTTGTTTAATATCGCTACGGATTTCTAAAAAAAGAAAGCGAAAAACGCATTTTAAATGAATTTGTTGAGGCTTCTTCGAACTTAAATTTCGGTTCTATTTTTGAGAGATAATGGCCTAAGCTAATCCGTATGAATAGAAAATTAATTTCCGTGTATAAATAATATTTTTAGACATTTTTTCAAACCATGGCACGTTTTTTTCGTCACTCATCGAACCATCGCTATTGCATATGAAAAATATAAACAACAAATTGAAAATTGTCTTTAAAATCCAATATTTGTCCTAGAGAGATATGTTTCAAAATGTAAGGATTAATTAACTGGATTTTCTAATAATAATGCTTGTTTAAAACTGAATGAGGATAAATTTTTATTTGCACGCGATAGCCTATATTGGGCTTTTCCTTTTGTTAAAATAAAAAAAAAACAAAAAAAAACATGCATTTCTGTTTTCTTTCAATAAAGAAAAGAGTACTGAACTGTTACATAATATCAGTCCTCCTATATATCAGTGAATGCTGGACAATGTCTTCACAGATGAAGAGGAGACTTGAAGCAACAGGAATATGGTTCTACAGAAGGATGCTGAGAATATCATGGACCAAACATGTGAACAACGACGAAATTTTAGAAAAAAGGAAAAAAAAGGACACAGTTAGGAGCAGTTAAGACAGTTGAAATTCCAAGGGCGCATAATGATGAAAGGAGGCTTTGAAAATTTGATACCCACAAGAAGACGGATAGCGAGGGAGAAAGAGAGAGAGAGGGGAAAACAACACATAGCATACACGAATGGTGGAACAAGATTCAAAGTTTAAGAGAGAAAAAGAAAAAGACAAATTTTATTAAGAGCTACAAAAGACAGGAAATTGTGGAGAGCCATGATCACCAACGCCCAAAAGTGTCACGGCACATGGAAGAAGAATAACAAATCTTTGGTTTCGAACAGTAACAGTTAAAATTTAAAAACCGAACAGAAAAAATACAAGTAAATTTTTAAAACTTAAATATTGAATAGATTTTTTTTCCTTTTTTAAAATCTGTAATAAAATAATGTTTCATTAAAAAATTATGTAAGCACTAATTCTCAAAAAATTGAGTTTTTTTTTTTTAAATTATTTTTATGTAAGTACGAATACTTGTCGGTACGAATTTTCAGTGTGTTCACGGTTGTTATTTTCACTGGAATAACTGGATTTCTTTTAGTTTTACTTTTTAACTGGAAAAATATTTTTCGAACACCTCCGCTTGTAAATTTAAGTCTTCACGATATTAAAATTGGGATAATTTACAAAACCTCGAAAAAGTTTTGATTAATAGAAAAGTACCAATTATTTTACGTATTTTACGAAAAGCTTTATTTTAAAAAATTTTTTTTTAGCAAAAATAAACAAACTTTCAAGAATTTTGAATTCCCGAAATCGAATCAAATGCGTGTTAGGTACCTCCACTAATTGGGTATAAATTTTCGATACCTAAAGTTTAAAATAAATTAAAAAATTTTCTTAGATTAATTTTAAAATTTAACTGAGATGAAATACCATGATAGACGTCGTAACTCGATAATTTATGGTACACACTAAATAAAATAATTACATACAATGAATATCATGAATTTATGGCCCACACTAAATAAAATAATTACATACAATGAATATATTTCGTAAAATAGAAATTAAAAAAGTAAAAATTATTTTAAAGTTTTTAAAGGGGTGATGTTCATAACTTGTTGAAACGTAAGCAGTAACGAATAACGAATTGGAGACATGCGAATTTCTCTGTAAAAAGAGGACAACTCTTAGAACATATGACCATTTCATAATAATGTTACATATAGACTACCATAGATGAAAAATGGGAATGCTTAAAGTAAAAAAAAAAAATATTTATATAT